TTTTTAACCGCTGTCAATCAACGAACGAAGTGTTTTTTTTTATGTACAAAGAAACGTCAACTTTTGTGCGATTTGTGCAAAACATTTGTCATGCGTTTTTGGAGCGCTTACCTTCAGATTACAACCTCTTGCATGTATGTGTGTCACGTCATTACGATCGATAAGCACCCACACCTACCTGTCCAACCAAAGGGGTACAGTCAGCATCTGTGCGCCTCTTGCCATCAGGCCGCTTTCGCGCCCCTTTTCTCGGGCTGTAAGGCCTTCATTTTCCTACAAAATTTCCGCCCCTGCACCCAGGTATCGAGGTCATGACGCAATTTGCTATTTCCGAGCCGGTTTTTACGAATTGGAACCTGAAAATTTGATATGTGATTAGGAGTGGTCTTACAAATGCCCCCGAGTGAGATGCCGGGTTTTTTTTTTAAGCCACAAAAACCCCTATGCTAGGATTCTCAGTTATTGAATATAGGGATACCTCGCCAAAAAAAAAAAAAAACGGCATCTGACTCGGGGGCGTTTGTAAGACTGTTTCCAATCACATATCACAATTTCAGGTTCCAATTCGTAAAAACCGGCTCGGAAATCGCTTCTAACCATTTCGTTGACTTCTTGGCTGGCCCAGCTTGTAGCTCGTCGGTCTGGGGTTGAGAGATGTCTGCGAACGAGGCAACGGGAAACACAAGAAGTTAGGGTGTCACGTCGCCAAACTCAACCTGAACTTATCATATATTTGAGTGTAGCCGTGCGCGGAAACAAGCTAACGTCAACATGAAGGACATCGTCATCAACAAAAAGATGAAGAGTCGGTTTTGTGCAAAACAAACTTACCGCCGTCGTCTGCATCGCTGGAGTCAACGCCCCCCATGAGCGTCTCACGTCCTCCATCGCCCTCCTCCGCCCGCCCCTCACGCTCATCGTTGCCGTTCTCCGAACCTTGTTCGTCGTCGCTACGGTCTTCATCGTTAGCGAAGGTATACGGCTTGTCCAAACCCTCCAAGGTGATTCGATCATCGCCCAAGCCGTCCACGGTCATGACCATCCCGCACTTTTCAAAAAGACGGTATCGGTACGCCTGTTGGCTGTCGAGTCTTGCCATGGCCGCTCCCATCCACTGAGTGATCAGGACGCGCCGATCAGAAGCTGTCAGCGACGCGGTTTCCCACCTCTCGAGGTTGTCCGACTGCTCGAGCCATATGTCCATCTGCCTCCCGACTTCCACCTTGAGAAATCGTCCGGCTCCTGCATCAACTGGCTGCACCTCGTCCGTGCACTCCGAAGGGCCATACCAGGCGAGAGTGTTGCAGTGCTTCGTAAGATACTCCTTGAACTCGTCTGTGGTCTGCGCGTGCATGTTGTCCATGATAAGAACGGACCTCACCTTGGGGAGCTCACCCCGCCCGCGCATCACGCTTTTCTCGGGGGCACCCAGGGGCACGACGCGTGCGTACAATCAATGCCCACCCTCCCCCTCTAAAGAAATACAAATGTTGATATGTGGGGTATGTACCCCTCCCAAATCCAATACTCTGTACTCTGGGATCACTCCCCCCTCTTCCCTCCCTCCCCCTGCGAGTATTCTTATCTGGCAGCCGCTGCATCGCTGTCGTTCTTATTTGTAGCAGCAGTTTTGCACCTCAGGTTTGTGTTCTTGTTCCTAACAGGGCGTGCAGCTGAGCAAGTTTTCTTATCGGTACATTTTTTACTTTTGGATGTTTTGAGCATCAAATTCTAAAGTGCCATATTCTTAAGTGCGGGCCGGCACTGTATGCGGTGATGTTGTAGTTGGGCTCTCCAAGCTGCCCGTTTTCGATTACTGTGCGACCACACCCACCCCCGGCCGAGTTGCAAAGCTCAACTCTTACATTTTGTTGTATTGTTGTTTGTCACATTAGCTCTATAGTCCACAAAATGGGAGCCCGTAGTCTCAACACCCGGCACATACGACGCCGCGGCGAAACAAAAACAAAAATAAGGTACAAACCACTCGGAGAAAGAAAACAAAATGAATGATAAAAATGAAAAGAACAGCTACCGAACCGACCGGTCGAGAAAAGAGCCCTTGGAGACCGATCAAAATAAAACAAGACAAAAATGTACGGGGACGCTTCCCACACCCGCCTGAAAAATCAAAGGGTAACGTACCAGCACCAGGCACTACGCACCAGGGCATGAGAGCAACGAAGCCAACAGAACAAAGAGGGGGCAGATGGGCAGATAGATAGCCAGATGTACAAAAAACAAAAGCAACAGCAAAAAACGGAAATCAAGGTACCCAACACGGCAGAGTAGGCAAGGATGACATGAAAAAAAGAAACACAGTACAGAGGCCGAAGGCAATACAATGGACCTATATATGCATACATGAAGGAGTATATTATGGAATGCAGCAGGAAGGGAAACGGGGCGCAACAACATTAGCCGGGCACATAGTCGCCCCGGTGGTCTAGAGGGTAGCCTCGCAGCCTGCTAAGGGCCACGTCACGGGTTCGAGTACCGGTAGAGTCAGTTTTTGTCTCACTAAACAAATCCTGGTCTAGGATGAAAGCGACGCGCTGCAAAGCTCGTTTGTTAGTAAACCATAATCGACTTCGTAAGTCGCGAGGGAAGGGATTGCTGGACCCTTCTCGCGATAAAAATACCTCAGGCATGAACCGCAGGAGGGGGTCCAACCCCCCCCCTCCTATGTGACCCCGGTTGGGTCGTCTAGCTAGTAGATGTGGCGGATAGGGGCCAGAGGGGCAGACGACAGAGTCCAATGATGGGAGGAAAAAAAAAAAAAGTTCGCCACAGTGCTGCCTCGGCCGCCCTACTCGCTTCTACAGCAGTGCCCGGTCGCCGTTTCTTCCCCCCCACCGCCGCTTCCCCGACTCTCTTTTTCTTCGGTCCCGAGATGGCCGTACTCTCTGATTCTTCTTCCATCGCGCACTGGCGCTTCGCGGACGCTTCCGCCTCTTGCCTGTGCCATTTCCTCATGAACCATGCCGCCCCGTCCTCGACCTTGTTGTACCACACCTCGGGGTCCTTGGCGCTCTCTTTCCATTCCCCCCCTTCCTTTTCGTCTCCCATGTTGAAGGCCACGAGGTTCTCTCCTAGACGAGACACCCTGTCGCTCTCCTGCCCGCCCCGGTATCCCACGCCCCACGCCATCGCTCCTAACAGAATGCGCTTGGGGAGGCGGTTGTCCTCCATGCGCATAACAAAGCCCGCGAANTCACCTTGTTGTACCACACCTCGGGGTCCTTGGCGCTCTCTTTCCATTCCCCCCCTTCCTTTTCGTCTCCCATGTTGAAGGCCACGAGGTTCTCTCCTAGACGAGACACCCTGTCGCTCTCCTGCCCGCCCCGGTATCCCACGCCCCACGCCATCGCTCCTAACAGAATGCGCTTGGGGAGGCGGTTGTCCTCCATGCGCATAACAAAGCCCGCGAAACACAGTCTACGTTTGCGCACGGTGGCCTCGATAGTTTCCTCGCAGCCGGCCTGGATGAGGGCCTGGGCATAAAACAGGGGGCGGTCTGAGCGTTTCCGCTTGCTCCAGCCGAAGCACCGTGTAAGGAACTTTCGGTGGGTTCCATTGTCTGAGATTTTCCGCTTGCTCCAGCCAAAGCACCGTGTAAGGAACTATCGGTGGGTTCCATTGAGCTTCTCGTGTAGTGCTCCGCTGTTAGGCTCCACGAGGCGCACCCGTATAGAAGAGTCTCCACCACTTCAGCTGGAGTAGCCGGATCTTGAGCTGGCGGTGTACTGGCGGTGTAGAGAGTTGTTGGAGACTTCCCGCGACGAAGATATCAACAACAAATTTTCGTTTAGCAACCTATCGGTGAGACGTTTTACATGCCATCAGCTTTTCACCGTCACCAATCGGGCCTTGAACATAGGGTTGGGGGGGAGCCGGTATACGAGACCCTAGGGTCCCGTATATTAAACGCGACCCTAGGG